CTTCCTCAGCCTCTTGAGTACTAGGGCTATAGGCATGCACCACCACACCTGGCTCATTAATTCATTATTTTTATTTTGTATGTATTTTTTTCCACTATTGGGGATCAAAACCAGGCCTTACTGCATGCTAGGCAAGCACACTGCCAGTGATCTACATCCACAACCTGCTATCTTGTTATTAAGAGGGTAATACTTTTTCTACTGAACTCCAGTAGGGAGCCACATCCCACTCCTTTTTTTTTTTATTAGTTTTTTGTTTTTGTTTGGTACCAGGGATCAAACTCGGGTCCTTGCGCTTGGCAAGGCAGGTGGCGGAACCACTGAGCTAAATCCCTGGCTTTTTAAAATTTTTTGTTGTTTTTGTTCCCACTCCTTTTTTGTTGTTGTTGTTGTTCCCACTCCTTTTAAACGTTTTAAAACTTTGAGACAGAGTCTCACTAAGTTCTCCAGGAACAACTCAAACCTGCAATCCTCCTACTTCAGCCTCCCTAAGTGCTGGGATTACAGGCCTGTGCCATCATGCCTGGCTTATTTTAACTACTCTCTCATATCCAGGACGATGCTTTATAGGTAATTGGTGATTGATAACTATTTAGTGGATTTAGTATGTATCCAAAAAAGAGCACTGGACTTCATGTCAAAAGATAGAGTCCAGTTCATGACCTCATTTTTTTTTGAGACAGCATCTCACTATGTAGTCCAGGCTGGCCTTGAAATCTCAACGGTCCTCTTGCCTCAGCCTCCCCAGTGCTGGCATTACAGGTGTGCACCACCACGCCTGGCTTCATGACCCCATTTTTACTATTGTCTTGGAAATGCTGGCCAGTGTAGTACATTACTGTTTGAAGCCAGGGATTTGGCTCAGTGGTTCCCCGCCTGCCTAACAAGTGCAAGGGCCCAAGTTTGATCCCCAGTACCAAAAAACAAACCAACCAACCAAAAACAACAAGACAGTTTGAAACAGATTATCATTATTTATATAGTATATTGTATGCCGGAAAACCTAAGTTTCAACTGAAAAACTGTTTAAAATAGTAAGACAGCAGAGTGCCAGGCGTGGTGGTGGAAGCCTGTAATCCCAGCACTCTGAAGGCTGAGGCAGGAGGATCTCTGCGAGTTGGAGACCAGCCTGGGCTACATAGTGAGTTCCAGGTCAGTCTCAACTACATAGTGAGACCCTGTCTCAAAAAAACAAAACCCCCCCAAAAAACCAAAAAAACAAAACAAAAAAAACCAGTAAGATAGCAGAATAGGGCAGGGCTGGGGTTGTAGCTCAGCAGCACTGTGCCTGCCTGGCAACTGGGAAGTCCTGAGTTCGATTCTCAGTAATAAAAAAAAAAAGGTTATAAAATTAATATTCAAATATCAATTAATTTTTTCATGTTAGAAAAGTAGCTGGATGTGGTGGCACACACCTGTAATCCCAGCACTTGGGAGGCAGAGGCAGGAGGATTGCCAAATTTGAGCCTTGCCCATGCAATTCAGAGACTGCAAGACAATGTCTCAAAATGCAAAAGAATGGTCTGGGCATGTGGCTCAGCAGGAAGGCGCATGGTTCAATCCTCAGGACTGCTGGGGAAAAAAAGCACAAGTCTTGTGATCCAAGGCAGGGTGTGAGTCATGAGAAAAGAAAACATGAATGGGCACCTTTCACCCTACACACGCTGCGGTCCTGCGCGGCTGGCAATCCTGTGACAGCATGTCGCAGGGTGAAGGTGTGACACTCTCCAAAGAAAGTGACCGACTGCAGGCCTCCACCCCTAGTGGGGAGCAGAGCCCTGTGCTTCAGGGCTCAGTCTGAGGGATCGCACTGCGGCTAAGTAACCGCGCCTGTGCGCGTGAGCACACGTGTGCCATTAGAAGGCGCGGCAAGGGCCGGGAATTTAGCCCAGTGGCTCCGCCGTCTGCCTCGCGAGTGTTGAGTTCGATCCCTGGTACCCTCCCGCCTCAAACGGGGCGGCAAGTGCTATGCAGGAAGAAACAAGGCGGTGAGAAAATGAGGGGCTGGACTCAGGTTTGGGGGCGGGGAAAGCGGCTTTCTGATCGCCTCGGGGAATCTCGCAGTCAGACCAGGGAGGCCCTGGGGTGACGGTTCTGAGGAAGGGGAGTCCCCTGCGCAGGAAGTGGCCAGGCTGAAGAATCAAAGAATCGGGAAGGCGGAGAGCACCAAGCTGGGGGGTCAGTCAGGGTGCCTGGAGCCTTTACTGTGTGTGTGCCTGGCAACACTCAGGGGTTCCCGCTCTGAAAGAACAGCTCTTCTCCATAAGGTCAGGTGATCCTCCTGCCTCAGCCTGCCGAGTGCTGGGATTACAGGTGTGCAGCACTACACCTGACTCACAATCTCTTTTTAAGCCTGAAAGTCTTTGTTGTGATCTCTACAAAGGTAAAACTCACCAAGTATTTGGCTGCTTAGTTAAGCTATTGTTTACCTCCTACTGGAGGAGTTTAACAGTGACAAAGGTTCTACGTGCAGAAAGTGGAGTCCTAATTATGGTTCAGTTCTGAGATATTCTAAATAATAATTCAATTGGTTGTGACAGAACATCAGCTTTGTGACCTTGGATTCTCTGGTTTTCTGTTTTTTTTGAAATGGAGTCCCGAGAATGCCAGGCTGGCTTCAAGCTCACCACGTCCCTCCGGCGTTGGCCTCCCAGCACTGGGATTATACATGAGGGCCTCTGTGCCCCAGCTACTTGTGTGTGTGTGGAGCTGGGGATTGGGTTGAACCCAGGTTCTTACACATGCTGAGCACATCAGGTTCTATATAAAAAGGAAAAAAATGTGTAAGCATTAGCATAGTGTATGCGCTGGCTAAATGTGCTCCATTTGAAGACTTTAGAAAGATCCTTAAACCAGGAGCGGTGGTACGTGCCTGTAATCCCAGCACTCTGGGAGGCTGAAGCAGGAGGATCACAAGTTTGAGCTGTGTGGATAATTTGCCCTGGGTTTAGTCCCCAGTATCACATACACATATGTGTATGCATGCCCAGCAGCCTATGAGTGTAAGAGAAAAAGGACTTTTCCAAGTGAGGGACAAAGCTAAAGGTGATAGAACAGTTTGGTTAGAATGGAGGATTTCTAAGGAATGGACTGAGAATTGCTGGTGTATAACAAATAATGCAGATATTCCAGGACATTGAGAATTATTGGGAAAAAGAATATGTATAAATCGCTATTTTAAGAAAATTAATTTGGAAGAGGCATACAGAAGAAAGCTGAGAGTAAAAGTGATAACACGGAAATAATTCACAAAATCATGATGATGATTCAAATTATTTATTCTGCAGCCCTGGAGACTGAACTCAGGCCTCATGTGTGCTCGTCAAGCGCCCTACCACTGAGCTGCACCCTCCAGCTTCAATTTAAGTTTTATTGAATTTTGTTTTTGCTAAGCTACATTCCCAGACCTTTTTTTTGGGTTGGGGCTTTAGCTCAGTGGTTCTGCCACCTGCCTTGTAAGTGCAAGGTCCTGAGTTCAATCCCCAGTACAAAGGAATTCCACCTGCCTTGTAAGTGCAAGGTCCTGAGTTCAATCCCCAGTACAAAGGAAAAAAAAATAAATAAAAAGGAATAATCCAGACCTTTTTTTGAGACGGGGCCAAAGTCACCAAATTGCCCAAGTTGGGCCAAATTTGGATCTTTCTGCCTCAGCCTCCCAGTGTTAGGACTACAGACCCATGCCACCAAACCTGGCACAGCTCAAGTTTTGTGGAGTCTGTTAGTTTTTGAGACAAGGTCTTGCTATGTAGTTCAGGCTATGTAGTTCACTATGTAGCCTCCTGAATGCTGGGGTTACAGGCATGTGCCATCATGCCAGGCTCAAGTTTATCTATCTATCCATCTATTTTTGAGACTGGTTCTTACTACACAGTGCTGACTGACTCGAAACTCACTGTGTAGCAGTTTTAGCAGTTTATATGTGCTGCCGAAGGAAGCACTACTATGTAGCACTGGATGGCCTCAAGCCTATGATCTGCCACCCGAGCATTCCAAGTGCTGGGATTGATTACAGGTGTCCTAAATTTTAAATAGCACTAATTCATTTAGACTGAAATACCTACCTGGTGTGAAAATGAAAATCAGGTTGGGCTGTTATACAGATTTGAGTCTTATTTATTGAATCCTTGAGTGTGAGAGAGTTAAAAACAAGATAAAGGCACTGAAAATTGAAATTATCAAAAGGCTGTGGATAACACAAAGAGCCTATTATTAATGGAGTGATAATACAATGTTGAATGGTGGTGCACACCTGTAATCCCAGCACTCTGGGAGGCTGAGGAAGGAGGACTGAAAGTTCCACCCCAGCCTGGCTGAGATTCTGATTCAAAATAAACAGTACTGAGAATGTAGCAGTTCAATGTGAAGGCCGTGGGTCCAATCTCCAGTACCACTACCACACATACACAAAGGAACTTATAGAGGATACAACTTAAAAAAAAAACAAACTTTTTTTTGGAGACAGGGTCTTGCTACATAGTCCAGGCAGGCCTCGAACTCATGGCGACCCTCCTGCCTCAGTACCAAGCGCTGGATTACAGGTGGAATGAAACTCTGATGGAATGCTTGAGGTATATAGAACCAATACAAATTTTTCTTTTAACTTTTGCTTGTTGAGGGTCTTTCCCCGAAAGAATTAGCTTCCCTCCCTCTGCGTCACTTGGAACAACGGCTGAATTACTTTTTCAATCACTCAGGACGTTGCTGTTCATCAAAACGATCGTTATGGATACGTACTTTTGACGGAAAATAACAGCCGCGGGAGCGTGGGGCTAGCCTCCGGACACACCCTGGTGTTTCGGCAGTGCTCGCCTCTGCCCTTAGGGCCGTAACCCGCACAGCCTCGCTCTCCCCACCCCGCTGGGCACCGCGGAGGAGGCCGCCGGGACGCTCCCCTACCCTGGCGACACCGGCGTCGCCGGG